ACAATGGCCTGGGGACAGAGCAGAGCTGCAGGAGTCCCACAACAAGCTGTGATTAGGCAGGGCAGGAGAGGTTTTCCCTCCCTGCCTTCAGACATTTTGTTGTTGGCAGAGGGTGATAACTGTTCATGTTCTCCACTGTTGGTCACATATCCCTGAGGTGTTTCCTGAGGCTTGGCCTCTACCTGCAGCTTGACTTGCCATATGGCTCATGGAAAGCTGTCACTGCTCTTCTGATCCTGGTGGGCTTGGAGAGACTGGTTGCATCTGGACACTTCTCAGACTGAGCCTGATAGCTGCTGGGTTTTTGCTCATGAACAGCAGCTGGCCAAAGGGACGTGGTTTTCCCTTGTGAAAGGAGTGCTGGCCAAAGTGCTTGTACTGTGTTGGTGACTTTGAGGTGACTAGCCTGGTTGGAGTTTTTAAGCAGGTTTTTCTCTATTGTTTCAGGTATCTTTCCAGTTGCTCTTTAGTACCTTGAAATGGGTGAGTTTCTTGGTTTTGAACTGTGTTTTAATTAATTTGTGGGGATTGTTTTCTTTCTAAGGAAAAAGCTTTTCTGAGAATGAAGCTTCTCATTTGATTAGGGGCATCTTGCCAAAACGCTTCGGGAGAGGGATCTATGGAATGAACTTCGAGCCTGGATTGAAGATTTGCCTGGAAACTGTCCCTCATTGTAGCTGTTTGAAGGTTGTTAACTTGAAGTCTCCTCCTTGGAATGCCAGCCCTTTTAGGTCTGAACTTAAGGTGGAGGTTAAGTTTACAGCGCACAAGGCGATAATCTGTTTGGCATTCTGCACCAGGCATCACGCGGGTGTGACGAACATCGCGGAAATCTCTCTGTCGGACTGAGATATAATCAGTGAGGTGCCAGTGCTTGGACCTAGAATGCATCCAGGTTGTCTTCAAACTATCTTTCTGCTGAAAGATAGTGTTGGTGATGGTAAGCTGCTGCTCAGCACAAAACTCTAGCAGAAGGCAACCATTATCATTGCAGTTCCCAACCCCATGCTTGCCTAGTACTGCTTTCCAGGCTTCAGAGTTCTTTCTTACTCTGGCATAGAAATCACCGAGGATAATGATCTTATCATCTGCAGGAACCTTTTGGATAAGGCGGCGTAGGTCAGTGTAGAATTTATCTTTTCGGCAGGGTCAGCTTGGAGGGTTGGGGCATATATACTAAAGAGAACAACATGTTGCTTGTTGTGTAGTGGGAGGCATAGGGAGGATCATACGATCAGAATGACCAGTCTGAACAAGTAGTATGTTATTAAAATACCCAAGGGTAAGTGTCAGAGAATTTCAGAAACTACATACTTGTGAATTTGTTTTTGATTTTAAAAAATACTATTTTAATTATATAGTTTGTTTGATTTAGAATTTACCAAAAATTTAAAAGTAGTGCTAAGATAGTAAGTAATTTTTGTGATTTTTCCCGTCTAATTTAAATTATTTTCCTAAGTCTTGCCAATCTTTTTCTCAGTCTTTTGACTTATTGTTGTCTCTAACTTGAATTCTTTGGCAGATAACTGTTTATCATATCTGTAATCTGATCACATCCACCAGGGCAGAAAAATAGTTCTTATCCCTTTGCTTGCATTCTGCCATACTCCAGTTGCTAAGTAGTATAGGCAGTATCTGACCTCAGAAAAGGCTGGACAAGTTTAGTTAGCATTTACTAGCAAAACAGCAGTGGAGGATTCACATGCTGCTGTCTGAGGAACTGGTCCAGTATGAAGTTCAGCTGTAGGTTCAGTTATACCCTGAGGCTGAAGGTATGTTCAGGCTGACAGCACCTGGCTCCCAGGAGAGTGCCCTCAGTGTGAGGTTTGGCTTCCTGGCAGCCAGGAAGGAAATGCTACCTGCTCCTTTTGGCTGTAGTAAACAAACTGGCCAAAGCAGTGCTCTTTCACTTCACTATCCTGGGATAGCTGAAGTTCAGCTGCCCCTGCTAGTGTTTACAGGCCACTGCTCTGCTTGTGAAACGTAGAGAAAAATAGTAAGGAGACAGTAATGGTTTGTATACAGATGAATGTAAACAAATTTTAGAGTAATAAAACAATAAATACCCTTCAGTTAATGAAAGCAGCTTATAATCAAGGACACTTCACTAACCAGACTTGATTGTTTGAAAGGAAAGAAAATTTTGATCCTAATGAGATTAAATTTAAAAGTGGGCATTTGCTTCAAAGCAGAGATTAAGACCTTGGATTTAGTCATAGACAGCAAATTTTCAGGACCTATTCTTCCTTCAGCTGAAGCTAGAGGCAAAATTCTTGTTGAAACCAATGAAGGCAAAAGAATGCGTATTCCAGTTGATAGACATATGTAACAGGAAAGTTGCTCATATTTTAATTATAAACTGTCCACTGCAAGTTTCGATGTATTTGGTGTCCATATTGGAATGACAGTTGATCACAGCCTATTCAGCCACATTCAGCTGTCATTTCTCAAGAAGCACCATTTAGGGTTACTGTCTCAGGATCAAACCAAAGTTATTTAAGATTTTTCTTCATTTATTTAATTAGGCTGGGGATCTAAGCCCCCAGTTTCCATGCAGTTTGTTTAAAATAAAAGTGCATCATCTTTGACAGTGTGCTCAGGCCTTCTGTGGCACTTGCCTGAAACAGTGAACTTTTCTGTGATTTTTTGGCTTTGATGCCTCCAGGAGCTGACTTACCCTTCAGCCTAATGAAAGAAAGAAAGTGCTGAAAAAATTGTTGGTAGTGCTATTGAGAGTTGTCCCATTATGTCTTGCTTTTAAGCCTTGTCCCCACTTCTTCAGAACAGGGAAGGTGAAAATACAATATCTGTATTGTATGGGGCCATACCTCATAGAAGTGAAAGCTTATGTGACAACACTAATATGAAATGCAAATGGAAATAATTAAAAACCTTTATGGGAGAATCTACTGTTCTGATGAAACTATACTACTTTGTGCCAAAAACAACACCTCTGTTCTTTCTTCTGTCTTCCCACTTCAAAATTGCTTTATAAGTTGTAGACAATTATAGTTGTTGGCTTTTGATGCAAATATTTTTTTTGGCTCACTTCTGCATAGCTCTTTATTGGCATTTATTTTAAAAGGCAAAGTAAATACTTTTAAATTTACTATTTTCTCTTAAGATTGTTAGGATGGATCTTGTGGATCTTTCTTGTTGCTTGCTGGTTCAATATCAGGTTTCACAAATGGTAATAAAAGTCAGTAAATTTCTGAGACCTGTTCTTGCGCTCTGCTTAAGGATGTAATATAAAAGACTTTTTCTACCAGGTTGCAGGGTATACCTGGCTGTACAAAGACTTCTCTGCAGTTTACTGATCTCTAGACCTACACTATATATCTGCCTTTCCTATGTACTGCACTTGTCAGACAAGTCTATAGCTAGAATGAGTCATGCTATCAAGAGGTGTATATACAAGGTGAGTCGTGATAAAGAGAGGACCTAAATGCCTAAGATTTGTGCAAGGTGCAAAATTTGAGGTGCAGAAAATTTCTAAGCAGAATCAGAGACACTGGCCTGAGTTTCCTTCCAGGACTGAGAAAGACATACTGCCAATGACAAAGGAAGTTGTGTGCTCCTTTCAGTTATAAAATAGCCTGTGAGTGGACAATTTACCCAGGAAATGTAAGAAACAGATTTGGTGTCTTCCTTGGTCTTCTTGCAGTGAACACTTCCAGTGCTCAGGTGTATGTCCTAACCAAGAGCTGTAGGTTGTAGCCCTTCTTGGAAGTTACCATAGTACAGAAAGTAATTTTAATTTGTTTAGGATAGGAAATAGAACTTTGTAAATTTAGGTTGTTTGGGAGCACCACTGGGAAGCATGAGTTTTGAACTGTGTTAAGTATTTAATGTAGAATTCAAAACAGCTCAATGGGAGTTCCAGTAAATACCTAAACCTCTAAGCTCAGAATTTTCTATTCAAGTGGAGGAATATTTATTTTTTTATGTGCAGTGGTATGTCATCAGCAGTGGGGTTGCAAATCTGAGGGGCCCTGAGCCTTGTGGGTACTGTTCAGGGAAATACGGTGTAGAGAATCACTGAATGGCTTGGGTTGGAAAGGACCTTTTAAAGATCATGTAGTTCAGCCCCTTTACAATGGTTTTCATCGGTCTCACTAGAGAACAGAACTGATCACCTGCAGACTATATCTCCCAACAGCCCCAAATCTGTTGCAGTTTTCCCAAACTGAGTTTGCATGACTGATGGTAGCTGCAGCTCTGTTCACATTCTTTTACTGCTTGGTCCAGCAGCATAAAGCTGAATCCTTGTCTGAATCCTTTACTTACCTTCTTACCCAAACCAGAGTTTCAAATCATGTCTGCTACCCTCTACCTTGCTGCTCTTCCTCCAAATTTACCTTCTACTTATAGAACAGTCCACATCCTTTCCACCCTGCCTCTGTATCTCATCAGGTCTCAATTCTTTTATCCATATCCCACCAAAGTTTTTCCCAGATCAAAATTGTGCTCACAAATGCTTGTTTACACATAAACAAATTTAAAAATATATTTTCTGTTTAAAAAAATATTTTCTGTGCTCACTTCCTACCCGAGTGTAACAGGACTCTGTGAAGGGTGCAAGTAATGTGGCATCACTGTTCCTGTGAAATGGAAATACGTGGACAGTTAGCTCTGCAGGTTTCAGTGTCCCAGGGATCCAAACCTGCTTTTGGTTTGATGAATGAATGGCATGAGTTAAAACTGCCTATTCCTTTGCAATAGTAGAAACAAAGCAGGAGGGAAAATATGATTCTATTAGCTAGCACACAATTTATATTCAGAAGATTTAACTAGCATCATACCTAGTATGAACAATGACTAAAACTCTGGTATTGAATCATTCAAAATATTTGTATAAATACTACCCCTGCTATTTGAGGATGATTTGGGATTTAAGATAATACAGACAGGAAGCATCACTCACAACTTACTCAAGCTATACTACATGAGGTTCTTCATAAAAGGACTTTTGTGTTATGGGATACTAAAACAGCAGCAGCCCCAGTTTTCTTGCAGCATTGTATTTCTATAAAATTTTATAAACTAAATGAAAGAAACTTTAGCACAAAGTTGATACAACATATGAATTTATACAGCAAAAGCTGAATACTCTTATCTATAAGCACATAACAAAATTAAGGATAACAATTACTAGAAAAATACAAGTCATCTTTGCCATTCATGTTTAGAGTAACATATAGTCAGTTATAAATTCTTAAAAAAATGCATAGCAAAAGCCTGATGAATGCAATCCCTTCTGTGCCACTCTGTAACTACTAGAAATTTTACAATCAATATTGCGGGAGAGGAAAGAAGGGAAATCCCAGATTGATAGGGAAAGTGCTGTTTTGTTTTTTACTATACATTTTACTTGCAAACCGCCTTTATTTTCTAAAGAATACTTGAAATATGTTATTCACACCAAGAATCTGGAATAGCTCTGTGAATGTCTCATCATTTTAAACACGTGTGTGTATAAATATATCAACATTACTAGGTATGTAATCGAATGAAAGCCTTTTTTTCAAGAAAGCTATTCTTTCACCTTCAGAAAACCTCACATGTCTATAAAGATGTTTTTGCTACCCTTATGAAGTTGTTATTCTGTGAACTACTAAATCCCACTTAATGTGTCTGCCTACTCTTTTCTAACCATGTAATCTGATATAGATCAGTTAGATTTCAAGGTTTGGGATACCTTTGGATTTGAATTTCAATGCTTTCAGTCCCCATTGTGTGGTCTAATTTAATCTCTTGGCCTAAGATTCCTGTCTCTAACTGTCTAGCCAATAACAACTTTATTAAGACAGTACACGGCAGTAGACAGGAAATATCCAGTTATCAGTTATATTTGGAATATCACTGTTGACTTCAGTGGTGCAGGAAGCAGTAGTAATAGCTAATATTTTAGGATCCAGATTCTCAAAGAACTACTGTGCCTTAAATACCTTTCAAAATCTGTGCCAAAAGAACCAATAGATCCACAGAAATCTGTGCACAGAAGTTAAATTACTTTTGGTGTAAATTTTGCCAACCAGATGGCAGTATCATTCTCAATAGCAAAACCCTAAGTAGTAAAAATAGACTGTTTTAGCTACAATCTTTTCTTAAACTGCCTGGCAATAATGGATGTTTTGCAACTGGAGCACTGAGAGTACTTCATGTTACCAGTAGAACTCCTTGAAAAGATACCAAATCATAAGCTACAGAAGGCTCATAGAAGGTAGTACCTTGTATTTAAAAATTATATTATTTTTGGTAAGAAGATATCTAGCAAGAGGCAGAAAAAAGTCAGAGCTGTATTATTTCCTCTGAATATCTGCTATCCTTAAGTGCATGATATGCATAGTTTTGAACTTTGGGATACTATGTATGTATTGAAAATATTAGCTGTTGGCCAAATTCTGCACTTCAGTATCAAGTACAACTTCTAACAAGCTCACAAAAATCCTTGACTGATTATGGAAACAAAAAGTAGCCCTTCTTCTTCCTTTGTATTATGATAGTATATATATAACATCTGTACTTTAGAGGGACCATTTCAATGTCATGATTTTTAGTTTTGAAGTAGTAATAGTGAACAGCAGATTTTTCCTTTATTGTTTAGAGTCCAAAAAATCTTTACAGATGCTTCTAATAATATCAGGAACCATCTGCTCCAGTCCTGTGAACTCCCTGGTGAAGAAAGTATGAGACTCTCTTGGTTCAGAAGCCATGTCTTTCAGATCATCCAAAGGCGCCCAGGCAACACCAACAGAGAAGACTGTTATTCCTACAAAAGGGGAAAAAATTAGTTAAGGCCGTTTTGCCTGTAGATACAAGAAAAACAGCCATTTCTACATTCATTAATTAATCTGGATTGGAAAAGCGTGTTTCAATATCTGCAGTCTGTCAAAAGTAATTAGAGTTTGCCACGAAATATCAGGAATTAGAAGATCTGTCTCAGGAAAAATCCTGAAGGAAATATGAGGTATAAGAGCTAGTGTCTTAGTTGTTTTTGTAGTGACACACACGAATGCAGCAGTTATAATGTCAATCATCTTGAAACACAGGTTACACTGTCAAAATGATTCTGAAAATGAGTTTGGTTCCTTTGTGTATGCTTAGTGCTTTCAAGCATTATCAGTCCAATGAGCTTTTTGGCCAAAACTACTTATTCCTTTCTTTTTATTCTTACTCTACTGTTTAGGGAAGTAAGGCTGGGTATACGTTGTTCACTGAGCTGCCATAAGTGAATCTATGCTTACCCTGCTCTGTAATACTGATTGTTGGGTTTTTTTCATCCTAATGGAAAACAAGTTCCCCCCAAGTTCCTTGGGGCTTACATTTTGGTTAATTCAAAGCAGGTGTGATACTTTGCAAAGTTTAAAATCTTAACATTTACAGTAGAGCAGAAACAAGATGGATAAACTTGCACTGCTTTTAAAAATACATAATTTACCTGCTTTTTGTGCAGCTGCAGCAGGTCCTCTCACATCATCGTAAGACTGACCATCAGTCAAAACAATGAGGAAATTTTTGTTAGGTCCGTCTTTCACTGGCCCAAACACGTTTCTGACTGTGAAAGAAATTGCATCCCCAGTAGCCGTGCCCCCGCTCATGTAGCGAATGTTCCGGATAGCTGAGAGGACTTTTTCCTTGGTGACATAGTCTGTGAAGCCGAACTCAGTGCGCTGGTCATATGTGAACTGCACAGCTGCGACCTTGGAGCCGATGTCAGAGATCTCAAAAGCCTTTGCGACGTTGCTGACAAAGTCCAGCATGAGGCGGAAGTTGCTCTCTCCGACGCTGCTGGAACCATCGATCAGGAAACCGATGTTGATGGAGTTGTAGCACGTCTTGCTACACAACATCTGCTCGTGTGAGCACAGTTTTTGGACGAGAGGTTTTACGTATTTGGTAGTCCCAAACCAGGTGGGCATTTGGTAAGAGAAGAAACCGTTGGTTCGACAGACAGCCTGTTGGAAAACAAAAAGTCAATGGATGGATGCTGACAGACCAGTCGAATGGATAATAATTGGACACTTAAGATTTTTCTTTCAAAGGCAGGTTAGTGGAGCCTCATGGTGGGAACTTGGGTGGCTTTTTTGCCTGTTTGCCTTTAAAGAAACTGCAGTTGAAATCAGTGAAAGCTGTAATATAGCTTATTTTACCCAGGAATAAAGCCAATCCTGCCCCCAAAGCTCTGTACATTTCAAATTTAGCTTTATTCACAAGAACTGTAACAACAACCCTGAGATTAGATCAGCTGGTTAGAGCATGGTGCTAAGAATGCCAAGGTCCCAGATTTGAACCCTTTATGGACCGTTCACTCGGCAGTTGGATTTAATGGTCCTTGGGGGTCCTTTCCAACTCGAATGAACTGTGAATTGAAAATTATGTTTTGTGAATGTGAACTAAGTCATGATACTGAATAGCCAAAGGACTGAAAGTTCTGTATTTTTGCTTATCCACTGAAAATTAGCCTCTGTGTTTTCCCTTGGAACTTGGTAAGACCTTTTTTTTATTAATCTATAATGTGTCATAAGCACAGACATAGAATGGGTGGAAATATAGCTCCAGGTGATTCAAAGTAAAATTTCTTTTCCCCTAGCTTCCATAAGATGCATGTAAAGTACAAGGTAATTAAGAAAGGAGTTAAATTTAAAAATAATCTGGCTAAGATCAAAATGCAGAAGGGGAGGGCAGGCCTCAGCCACTTTCTGTGTCTTTACAGGGGCACACAGTGATAGTACAAGGGAGGAGGATGGTTTTAAGCTAAAAAAAAGAAATTTAGGCATGCTATTAAGAAGAAGTTCTTTACTGTGAGGGTGGTGAGGCACTGGAACAGTTTGCCCAGAATAGTGGTGGATACCCTATCCCTGGAAATGTTCAAGGCCAAGCCTTAGCTAACTGGTCTAGTGGATGGCATCCCTGCCCATGGCAAGGGGCTGAGAACTGGATGATCTTTAAGTTCTTTCCAACCCAAACCATTCTATGATGCTTCTATAAGTACAAAAGGGTTGGACCTTCCTGCAATACCTCTGGGATCAGCAGCTAGGTCTCCTATACCTAGAACAAGCAGAGCTGTAGTGCTTCATTCTGTTTGTGCCACTTCTGCTGAAATTAGACATCTAAGACCCCCTTGTGGAAAATGAGTGGTTTTCTCACTGCAGAGTAAGTAAACACCTAGTGATCAGAAAGCTCATGTAAGAGTAGGTTGATCTGTGTTTGAATTCAAACAGAACAAGATCCAAAACTGTATCCAAGATGAAAGTCTTGTACATAAACTTGCTAGAATATGTTTTTCTATATTTTCTGTCCTCTTTGTAGTGGAAGTAAGTAAATATTTTCCATAGAACAGGTACAGGAAGATAGGCCTCCCTGTCTGCCATTTCAGGAGAGGGAATATATTGTATCAGCATTTCATTGCTTTGGCACATTAAATCATACCCGAGATAGGGGAATTTCCTGCACTGAGAGTCTTCATGCAAATACAAAGTCCAGGAACTACAAATTGGCCAAGCCTCTGAACTGGGAAGACAGTGGTACCTTTGTGTTGCCCCTTTAGCAGAAAAAAAACTTCCAGTGTTTCTTTAACCTTCCTAGTGTCATTCTTTTAAATCACTTACAAGCAGGGATAATTTCATTGGCTGGTTGGAGAGAATATTTTTATATCTATATAACTTATTATATATACATATATTAGTTAATTAGAATTTTAGTGTAAAGTAAATTCTCCAGAATGATATTCAGGACTGAAAACAAATAATGATTTTTTTTTTCTTACTTTGTCAACAAAACCAATGTCTTGTACCATTCCCAGCTCCTCTGTTGTGGGTTTTGCTACGGATACAATGAATACGTTCACTCCAAATTCTCTGGCCACTATGCCGGCTTCTTCTAGATCATCTGAGGGCCAGCCATCTAGAAACACTACAATGATCTTGGGAATTCCTTTCCGTGCTCCATTTTCCAAAGAGAAGAATTTCTGAGCCGTGTGCTTCAAAGCTTTTCCTTGTTTTGAACAGAAAAAGAATATGAAGAAATAATACATACAATGATGGTATGTTTTGGTACCAGTTTCCTGTCTGAAATTGTGCTGCATTTATGCTATGATTACAGGTCTAACCCAGTGTAGTATTGAAATGTTGTCCCAGGAAATTTGAAAAAATGAAGCTTCAGCAACCTCTAAGCTAAAAACCAACTTCTCCAAACCAACACCCCAAGCCAAAAAAACCACAAAAAACCAAAAAACCAAAACCAAAACCAACCAACCAAACAAACAAAACCAAACAAACAAAAAACCAATACCCAACCAAAAAACACCACAACAAAACCCAACAAAAAAATACAAATAAAGATAAGGAAGAATTCACTGATTTTTTTTTTTTCTTCCCAGGGGTCTAGTTTTGTAGTAGGAAGTAGATATATTGGTGCCTGCCAAATGGGTTGGAAGGAAGACATTTCACACAGCTAAATTTAGGTAGCTCCTGAACTACAATGTACTTGGAGCACAGTTTCCTCATCTGGGTGGTTTTGGCTGGGATAATTAATTTTCTTCAGAGTAGCCAGTAGGAGACTGTTCTGGATTTCTGTGGAAAACAGTGTTGATAATACAGGGATGTTTTTGTTATTGCTGAGCAGCTCTTGCACAGTACCAAGGATTTTTCTGCTTCTTGTACCACCCTGCTATAGAAAAGGGGCACAGGGGAGACACATTCAGGACAGTTGACCCCAGCTGACCACAGGGGTATTCCATATCACGTGGTGTCATGCTCAGCATATAAAGCTGGAGGAATAAGAATAAAGGTGGGGGGATGTTCAGAGTGGTGACAAGGACTGTTATGTGTGGTGAAGCCCTGCTTTTCTAGGGATGGTTGAACACCTATCTGCCCACGGGACATGGTGAATGGATTCCTTGTTTCGCTTTGCTTGTGTGAGTGGCTTTTGCTTTCCCTATTAAATTGTCTTTATCTCAATCTGTGAATTTTCTCACTTTTGTCTTTCCAGTTCTCTCCCCACCACCACTGGCTGTGTGGTGCTTGGCTGCTGGCTGCTCTTCACAACCACTTACTAGTTACTCTGTGTTTATTCTAACTCCTTAATTAGCCACCCAATAAGAAAGAAACACTAAGCCTTTTATGAATTTGTCTCTGTTACTGTTCCTGATCAAGTGTCAATTACTGTTTAAACACAAGAAGCGATATTTACACTTCTACTCTAATAAAATGTGCAATAAGTGTGTAATAAGCAGCCCTGACTTCTGGAAATGAAACGTAAGATGTGGCCACATTCTAATGGAAACACACTGAACCTGATTAAGGTAAGTGTGGCATCTAAAAACACTTTCTTACCTATCTGAATTATATGAACTTCGATATACACACACAAATGTACATACATAACAATACGTAAGGCAAAAATTTCTATTTCATTGGAAGTATGACCTTACCTGTATTGGAATTGCCTCCTCTGAACCCTAGTTCCTTTATGGCAAATAAAACTTCCTTTGCAGCAGTGAAGTTTTTCAGATAGAATTCAATTTTTGGGTGTTCACTGTGGGAAAAATAAAATAGAATAATAGGGTTTGCAGTTCATTGCTATGACATGAACAAGCTAAACCACGCTTGGAATAATTTTATTCTTGGTAATATCTATTCTTCTCTGTATTTTAAAATAAAAGTATCCTCCTTGCTCAGTAAGTCTTGCAATCATTAGCAAGATGAATTATCTACCTGAATGGGTAAATTCAGAACACCCTGATTCTTATGCTTATCAAACAGCTGAAAACACTTGGTTGAAAATATGTAAAGGAAACAAAAATGAACCTGCTAGGCGTTAAAGTAAATGCATTTGTGTAAATAAAAAGTGTCAGGCTTTCTACTATTTGTCTGAGAAATAACTTCTTTACAAAAAATTCCTGCACAATGTAGTTTGAATTATTTGAGAAGTTTTAAGGTATGCTAGCTACTGACTCCATGTAAGAAATGAAAGATTTTAACCATGCTGTTTCCAGATTTCACTTTTGATTTACAGTAGAAAACAAAAAGAAATGAAGTTATTTTTGCCAAGTGAAGGATGGAATGATAAACACCTGCAAACCAAAGAGCTACTATGAATAAATGGCTCAATTCTGCATCAGAATCACTAGAATGAACCCTTGTGCCCAGCAGAATAACTGTTAAAATAGTACATTTTGAGCTATAAAGATTATTGTTTGTAAGATTAATTTCTAATGAAGAGTTGAATGTTCAAGGTGCTAAACTGTTTACTTTCTCCATGAATTGCTCCTCACCTTATAATATATAAACCCGGACAGCAAGAGTGGAATTCATTTCCCCTAGCTTTTGCTGGACAGAAACTGGATTTTTCAGGATGCAATTCATCACATCCTACAAGAGGCATGCAAAGCAGTTCAGATGGTTTGTGCCACAAATGTGGCCTTTATTTGTAGTGGCTGCACCAGCAAGCCTAGGTAACTAAATCGGATTTGGGTATCTATCTACTCTACAGTTGCCTAAAGGCAGGGAGAGGAACAGACTTGAATGATGAAAAAAGATGGGATAGAGAAATCCTGTGCTAATCTAGCAGACGCTTCATCTTCTTGGAATAAGTGAATTAATCTTGATAATAAGTGGGTTCTTTGTGCTTCCTTTTTTCCAGATGCCATAGCCAAAGTGGTTAAACCTTGGAAAACTGCAATTGCTGGTCATTAGCAAACCAAGCTGTGGCTCAGGAAAACCTCCTGCTAACATGCTGGATGTTCCAGTGGCTTTTAGATTACACTCTGTGAACATACACAGTATGGTTTATACTAGATGATCTTAAGGGTCTTTTCCAACCTAAAAGCTAGAGCTCAAAAGAGCTTGCTTTCTCTTGTTATTCATCAACCATTATGGAGTGATATTGTTCTGCAAAATAGGAAGTGATGTATTAATTAATTTCTCTTCCCAATGACTCGGTTATATTTTGTGTCGATCTGTCCTTACCTGGCCTGTACGACTCCAACATGAGGCCCTTCTATTCCAATTCCCAACATTACAGCTACTTTTCCAAGGAAGTTTTTCTGCAAATTAAACCTACGTTGGCCAATGTTGTAACTTCCATCAATGAGAAATGCAATATCAGCTTTACAGTCTGTGAACATTCAAAATAATTGGACTTATTAACACCAAATAAATATTAGGATTTTTCTTTGCAAAAGAAAATTATTTGGCAAAGAAACAAAGATATTCTTACCTTTGTTTCCAGCTTTTTTATCAAGAGTCTTCTTAGGTTTTTTACCTTCAGTGAAGAAAAGAGCATGGATCATTTAAGAACAAGAAGATGAAGAGACTGAAGTAAATCAGAAAAAGCTCAGACTCCAAAAATTACAAGACAATCTGTCTGCAGTAGGAACTGTCAATCTGTTTAATTATTAAAATTGCACTACTGCTGCTTTGCTCCTCGGAGAATATTCTTTTTCAAATGAAACAGTTTAACCTTCCTTTCTACACCTGCCTGACTGATTACTGAATCATGCAAAGATGGGTGGATTTCTGTATCTCACCTTCCTAAGTGCTACTATTTCTCAGCAATTTTGCTGTACAATGCACAGTTTTAATGGTTTGGAAGCAAACTGTGACTTAAACTGTAAAGCAAATGGTGTGTTCAGAAACAACATCCAAGTCCAATATTTATATAGCACTAACCTTCATATAAACTGATCTAGCCTTTTAATGCAGCATTTTCTGTGGTGAAATTCACATAACTAAAGTTTTGCTAAACAAGTCCTGATGGCTTTCAGCTGTTGAGCAGTTCTGTAAGAACAAATGCTTTACTTCTTTCTTCTCTGTTACTTAAAAAGAATGATTATCCCATTAGCTCATGAACTCTTTATTTGTATTACTTTCTCAAATTCGTTCAAGTTTTTTTTCTTAACTTACATGAACACTAATGAAATCAGAATCGATCTCCAAGATCACATATGATTCTTCTTTTTTTCTGGTAAAAGATACACTGCAAAACCAGATATTGTACATTTTCTTCTTTAAAAATAAATTAATTGTATGAAACATGTAATTTTAGCCAGGGATTCACACACTGCAGCTCATCATATCACAAGATGCTTCCCTTGTTGTGGAGATCTCATACCTGTAGAAGGACGTGCTGTTGATACCGATCGTCCAACTGCTTCAAGCGCTGTGTCCTTGGTAGCAGCTACAATAAGAATATATTTACAGTATTTTAGTGTATTTAGATGATGTTTGAAGAACACTATATATCCTATAATCTTTCTTCATCATCTGCCATTAGCTACTCTGGGAGTAGAATATGAGTCTAGACAAACCTTTAGTGTAATCCAGTATTGCACTCCTTGTTTTACAGGTAATTAATTTCTGCATTTGAAGCAACAACAGCTGATGCATAATTACAGCATACTTATTTGATGAGAGATTTTGAGCTCTAGTAGCCATTATTTCTTTATTTCTAGCAGATAAAGTCAGGACTTGATCTGGAGAACTGGATTGCACTTTCACCCACACCAAAAGCACCTGTGATTCCAAGTTCTTAGCTATTAACTTGCTGTGGGCACCAAACAAGGATTACTAGTATCTTAGAGATAGTAGGCTGAATCTTAGCTGTGTAAACATAAGAACACATTAGAGAGATCTGTTTCACAAACTTTCGAAAGAAATATACCAGAAAACACATATGCTTTAATATTTTTGAAACCACAACATATACAATCAATATGCTTTTGCATATGATTTTATAAGGGTGGTTTAGCCTCACTTAAATGGCAAGGCATGATAATGGGTTTGCAGCTGGGGACACTATTTCAATGATGTGACGAAAGCTTCTGGAAAAAAAGCCACTATGTCACACTGTGGCTTAATGACCGCACATCACATGTAAGTCAACATAATTGATATTTTTTGGAGGGTAAGTGTTCTTTTTGCAGGGAATGCTGTACAAGGTCTTTGAAGGGCCTGACGAGTGCTACCACCTGCACAAATGCAGGCAGGGTGAGAGAAGGGATAACACTATATGGCTTGAAGTGGTAGGAGGACCAGACAGCAACGTCAGGATCAGAGCAGTGACTTTAACCAGCTTAAACTGTCATGGAACTGTCAACTGCCTGCCATCAAGTCATTATATTCTGAATAACAGATCCATTTTTATGTATCAACTTCTGCTACAGACTAGTTAGTCTAGCTGGAATGGTTTTTATTTAGGAAACTGTGGAAAAATGAAGTTAAAACAAATTAGACTATTACTACACAACAGATAGTAATCACATTTGTTTATGCAAGGAGCACCGAAGAAGGTTCCTACAGTTCTATCAACATTTCAAATACAGTTTGCAAAATAATAAGTGTGATCCACTTACGAGTCACTGCGAAAGATGAAGCCCATCTAGAGAGCACCTGAGACTGGATCCCATTGGCATTTACAGCAGGGTAGTTTTCCTGTCCTGGGAGAGTTTGTACCCTAACAGCTCCTCCTGCATTGGTGATCACCCCCCTGAGATACAAAAAGAGTTTTTATGAATCAGACATTTTAATCACAAGAAAATGCAATACAGTTATACTGTCACTGGAATATTGTACACTGGCCTCCTGAAAGAGATGCCATATATGCAGACAGTTGTGTTTAGGCTAAAACAAGCTGCAATTTGCTGAAAAAAACTTTAAAAAGCTATTCTACACAGCATCCCACGGACTTATTAAAAAAAAAAAAAGTCAGGAAATGCTTTGCAGTATTTGGGCAGGTACAGTGCTGTGGGAGACAAGCAATGATTTCAAGACTATGTAGCACAGCAATGTGTTCCTTTGTGTTTACTTTTCAATTCTGTTTAGGCCAGAACCTCTTTTCAAGCAGAAGGCCAATCTGATTTAAAACATTTTGAAAGTAGAATAATCAAGACTACAGTTTAGAAAACTTTGTGCATGTTTCTGGTAATATGAGCTTTGGGTATCTGTGGCAAAGGCAACTTTCACATAAAGCTCTATGTGGAGCTCTAACTGCTGTTAAAAGATATTCCTCCTTCGTGGACATGAGTTGCATTTCTAAATGCAGCTGTGGTTATATATATTTATATATATATATAAAATATATATATATATTTAATTCTTGTAGCTTGGAAGATTATAATAGATTATAATACAAACTACACATATATTTTCTGCTCTAGGGATACTGTGTAGAATATGGAGACAAATGAGCTTTAGTAAAGTTACCTCGAATGAGTTTAAAATCAGATTATAAAGTTGGCAAATCAAACAGCAGTTTATAGTTCTTTAAAAAAAGTGTGAGAAAAATCAGATCAGAGCCTTTAACTGGTTAGTTTTAAACGACAAAAAAATTCAGTAAGTCAAAATTATCTTTAAGAAAAATAACATCTAAATGTATTTAGAATATTTCAGTCTAATTGGAACATAAATTTCTTCTCTGGTACTCGGTTCTCTTTGGCATTCAAGCCTTCACTAGTGTCTCAGTCTTAACGGATAAGGAAAGGTGTCAAAAATAGAGAATATGTCTTTAATTGGAAGAGTTTCTTGTTTAAATTTGTACTTGCAACTTTAATGAGGCTACTTTAGGCTTACATATGCAAAGCTGATCTATGCCCAAGTTAGCTTCCAAGAAGAGTTTAGTATCTCTTCCCACTTCTTTTGTTGTGGACTCACAGCTTTCACTGCTGGCTGAACTGAACTCAAGAAAATGTTCAGTCTGAAAGCTCAACCTAAGAATTATTCTGGAAGCAGTGTTTTCAGCTTATTTTATTGCATTTTATGCAATGTTGTCTATCTTGTTCCATGTTGTCTATATTGTTCCATTTTGTCTATTGGTCTTTACATTTTAATTGCACCAATTAAATAATTAAATATAATTAGTAATTATGGGGAAAAATAATTACCTAGTCTCCACTGAATTTGGAAGCCTCACGCTGAAACTGGAGTAGATTTATTTGCTTCTTATCTATTTAGTGAAAACATTTGCTTCTGTATTTAAACAGAAGTCAAAGTTCTATACTACCTTCTGAAGATACAGTATTTTCATACAACAGCTCTGCTATTTTTAATGCAAGTGGGGGCTGATATTAGATGTAAATATAACATGAACTGTAGCTTTATGGAAGTTATTCCTCCTTTCTTGCCATTCTGCTCTGCAGGTGAGTTAACAGTTTAATCCACCTTTTACAATCTCAGCAGTTTTACCTGGGCTGCTTCTTCAAGCAAGTCTACTCAAAATGCATACTTACCTATGCTGATGTGGAATAGACCATATATTGTCAGTCTACCTTTGCATTCTGAATCAGATCAGCAAATTCCTTTCTGCAATCATTTATGACTGACTTTAAAAGTGAGATCGATCCTGTGTAGATCTGCAGTGGTTTTTAAAGAGTGAAGAAGTGCCCTTGCCTTTCCTCGTAATGACTTATGTCTTTATAATCTGCTTTGAGTTTTGCTGCTGTGCTTTGCCCCTGTGTGATTGACTTGCATGCCATGGCTGTTTTTATTAAACTGGAACTCTGTCCAGGAACAGCTTTCACTTCCTTACTCACTATGTTTCATGTTACTGCCAGTGCTGCTTGACAGCAACTTTATATAAAAGCTGCAGCCCATTCTCTTGGCTAGCTTCATTGTTAATAACAAATAACAGTTTATACCTAAGCAGTATTTTTCACTCAAAAATGGACACAAATTAAACAGAAAAACAGATACACAAAGCAGCAATCCAGTACCTCACTGCACAATAGCTCATGAAAGAAACTATACTGGCCAAGGGCAGCAGAACATATGGAGAGGTCTAATGAAATACAGGAATTCCAGCCAAAACATACTTAAAAATCTGAACTGAATTGAGGTAAATCACCAGATGAAATTGAAGCTTTTTATGAGCACCATGCACCTCCTCAAAGTAAAGTGCAAGAACTGTATATTTGCACTCTCAGAGAAAGAGATATGTGTTTTTTTCTGAATTTTGAATGCATTCTTCAAGTAGTCTGCACATCAAAATTGATGCCTAGACCACAAAGAAACTTTTTCAGCCATGGGAGATGAGCCTTACAGATGTGTCCACAGTCAGTTTATCCTCAGGAACTTTAGACAAGACTGCTAAAGTACCTGAATTCCCATTTTTCCTTCCTACTGTTATCATCTGCCAACTTCTTCCACAAAATCTGCCTTTCTTAATCACTCCCAGAAGCATCCTTCTCTTCTCCAAACTGCAGTCTCCTGCTGTTGCCTGATTGCCATCAATCACCAATATGCAATTGCTCAGCATTTACTCCAGCCCCCTAGATTTTTTTCCTTCTGTCTTCTCTGCACCCCTATTGCTTTTGGCAGAAAAGAAGTTAAGCAGCAGAAGCAGGCACTATACCAAAGTTTCCCAGGGAATCTACAGCTGCACAGAAACCCCTCTGGCCAGACAACATTTTTGTCAATATTCTTCTAGCAAGCACTAGGGCAGCTCAGGTGCCCTGCGTGTTTAAGGGCACTTTGTGACCAGCTTGGTATTACCATGATATGCCTTTGTTAGACTTGAGTTCTGGGACCTCAGTGCTTAATTAGAAGTGGTTTCACCCTGTGACAAGTTAGAAAGGTTATGGAAAAAAACTTACATGCCTATTTAACATCTAAATAATACTACATTGGGCTAGGTTTCCATTTAGAGGAACTGGCACTAGAACAGAACTACACAAGCTGAGAACCTAGTCCTTCATTTGACCTTCTGATTATTAATCCAATTAATCACTCAGTGGTAGATTTAACTCAGCTCTTCATGCCTACGTAGCATCAGCCTGGTAGGAGGTTCTCCATTCTTCCCTTGATGAAATGTTTTATTCTCTTGCCCAGAAAAAGAACAATATTATATAAATATTCTGTTTCCTGAGAGTAATTACACATAAGATGAGAGAAAAGGCCAAATACAACAAACTAAAACAGGCAGAAAGCTTATTCATCTGTAGTACACAGAATTATTTGTAGCTGAATTCTGCTAAATTCTTTTCATGCATTGTATAGTATTTTCTTGTGTTAATAACTGCCTCACAGTACTGGAACTACTCATAGGAATAAGCATTACTTGATTTATATAAAATTAAGCGATCCAGCCTCTATCTGGAGCCAGCATGCAACTGCAGTGTATGTGGAACAGACTCATGCTCATACAATCATTTTCAGTTAAAAAAAAAAAAAAAAAAGGGTCTGCTCCCAAGACTGATGCTTCTTGAAATGGTGGGTAGTTGTCTGACTGCTTTCCCTTAGACAACAGCAGCCACTGTAGGTGGCACAGGGCTAATACTTGATGGTGCTGGAAGGTGTGGAGCTATGTTGCACTCACCATGCAATGAAATGGAGGATATACCGAGTTTTAAACTAGGTGTGGTTATTTCAGTTCTTTGGAAGAAATTTACAAAATTCTCAAAGCACATCTCTTCTTACCTCACAATAACAGCAAACTAAGGTGATTACCTATTAGGAATACCTTCCTGAAGTTACTTTCACACCAATATGGAGTTTAGACATTGCAAGACAGAGCAACAAGTCTTTTGCAGCCTGCACTGTAATTAGCTGAGAACTAAACAGTTATTGCCTGTCCTCCATTCATCAATCTTTTTTTTTTTTTAATAGGGCCAGTACATATGGCTGCTAACAGCTGCAGCAAAGACAACAAACTGTTCTCGTGTAGCAAATTCTACTCTGAGTATGAAAGGCCAACAGATCTAGTTGCCTTTAAGTTTGGGGCTGTCTTCAAAAACAGCAGTCCTCCTTTATTCTGCTTTTTCAAAACATTTTACTGCAGTCTGTCATATTCAGAAGGTTTGAACAATGTTAATTTACATCTATTCTGGAAAACACAGATTAGAAAGGTGAGGTATATTTTAATCCCTTTGTTGCTATTGGAGCCCTCATTATTCTCACAATGTCTGTGGAGACAGATTGTTAGATTCGGGATTTACAAACAGGGCTACATATTTCACAAGTAGTACAATCTATATTGATCCTTACTAAGGAAAAATATGGATTTTTCTATAGTCTTACACTTCTGGGCTAGAGAACAACAGCACACATAGTTTATAACATACAGACTTCAGTGAAATGCTAAGTGATATATAAATGCCTGTCGTGGTTTTATTATGTAGGGGAAGACTATAAATCATGAAAAGAAGTCTGCATCTTCCATATGTTGTACCTCTTCCTTTTGTAAAGTATTCCCCAGCTGTGATGGAACCAAGTCCCAGCAGCTTTTGTGGTGGGATTTCTCTAACAGTCACAGACACCACTGGTATAGGAGGTTCAAGAATGCTGCCTAGCTGGTTAGAAACTTCTTGTCTTTTCAAAATGTTCAAGTCTTTAATCTCTGTAGAAAAAGGTCTTTACTTAAAGAGAAAGAAGCTTTTGCTGTCAAGACTTCTTTGGCAATCAGTAAAGACATGGAACATCAAAATAAATCACATCACTAAATACAAACACTGCCTTAGAAAAACTATGACAATGGAAAGAGATCTCAATTTTCCTCAGTTAAAAACAAACAAAGCCCCCAAACAAAACCAAACAAAAAGCACAACCTGCATTTGATCCGGACATTCTTCCACAAACTTTTTATATATACCTAAATTAGGAAAAGTGAAGTACCAAAGTTTAATTTTTTTAAAACAGTCTAAAATACACATGGAGACATGTAATTATATTTGAGACAAACTCTAAAGCTTTAAAAAACAAATACACAGACCCCAACAATACCTTCTAAGCTCTCTCTAGCTCCTCCTATAGTATCTTAGCTCTTAAGTCTTCTTTACAGCATTTGAGAAATTCCGGACAGTTTGTACTCAAAACCGTTCCTCATATCAATTGTTTTTAAAAAAAGAAGTTAATTTTAGTTTGGAGTTTAAATACTATACAAGTAGTGTGAATTTTTGAAGTCTTATTAAAAAGTAATAGAATTTTAATTGATACTTTAAATGAGATTCTGGATAGTAATGACAGCACCCTAAATATTATTTAAAATGCTTAGCATGTTTTTTATAGCATTTAAAGTATCAAACCATGAATAATAACTCAAAAACCATGTTATTTTCCTCCTTCATCTTCTAGTAATTAATTTCTCTGTAAAAAGTTAAGTCCATAGTTGTAGGATTTTTTAAATAAAAAATACTGCTAGCTTCAGCAGCACATCAATATATTCTGGAAGAGTTTCTTTCTGTTTCTTGACGATACAAACCCCAGAGATTGAAACCATTCCTCCATTTCTTTAAAGGAGTTGACTTAAGCTTTTAAGAAAGTCAGAAATCTGCTTTTATTCTCTAATTAGTTACCATTTACACTGTATTCTTCCATATCTACTAGTGACACATAGATAATTTTACAGTGAAAGTCCATTTGCTGCTGTACCATTTTAAAGAAAGTTAACGAAGTGGCTTTCCAGAGCACTTAAACTCAACTCAGATAACTTGCAAACTGCCCAGACATTCTTTTTTATCTTGTCCTCTTGTCTTGTAATGATATTCCTATTGAGTTAACAGGATTCACAAAGTCTAGAGAGATCTTTCTTATGATGGCATCAAAAGATTAGGATTTAGAAGCACAGCAAGACTAGAGACTACATAAACTCACTTAACACATTGATTAGCAATCATTTGACTTACCTGTGAATGGCAGCTCCACAGATACTGGAGAGAGAAGCATAAATTCCATCCCCAAAGACATAAAATTGCCACAGAGGACAGTTTGCTGGGCAAAGGACATCTTCTGTCCCCTTTCTAAGGTCAAGTCCTCTTGTAAAGCACGTGATAGCAGTGGAAGCTAAAGAGAAAAGAACAACTTTTGACCTGAAAAATCTAAGGGGTTTTTGTTGGGGTTTCTTAAATCTCTCTACAGTTTCCAAGCTTAAAGCAATGTCTGAATTTGAAACTAGGTACAGTGCCTGTAAAGATGTCTTTGGACCTTACAAATGTGCAGTTATGACAAGGAAGAGTACACTTTATTATTTATGGGAAAGAAGTGGCAGAAAAAGGTGGAAAGAGTAAAAAAAACCAGTCGTGAGCAAATAACATTAAAGTAACATTCAAGGAACATTACATGAGGAAAACCAATTCACATTTGTAAGTTTACTGCAGAGACAGAAGGACAAGAAGACCTTGGAGGGCTGGTGGATCACTGACACGGGTGGTACTCTCCATGGGAGAAATTAAGTGACTGACATGCCCACAGTAATCTCCAGCCATAAGACATCTATGGATCACTTGGGAAATTCTGAATCTTCTCTTTAGCAGCATTCATGAAGCAGGTTGACAGCAGCATTCAGCATTTCCCTTAGCTTCTGCAATAAATCCAACTGAGGCCAGTGCAGGGGAAAAAAAAAAAAAAAAGGAATACCCATCTTCTTGTTCCAGTAGTACAATAACATCTAAAACATTGATATCAATTCATTACAATGAACTTTACATCTTTGTCATTGTGCAAAGGACTCTCAGAATCACACAGTGAGACAAAAGTTATTTATTCAGCTGAGGCACATTAATTTTTTTTTTTTTACACAGAACTCTGACTTTTTTTCTTAAAAGTTGCTCCTCAGGTTATCATCATTAAGCTTTCACTGTTCTTGCCTATGTGCAATGTAGGTGTGCAAACACAGATTTATATCAGTATACAGTTTTGCTTGGCAAACATGCTTTTCACTTTGAAAACACAGAGATCTTTTATCTTGAATAGTTACTACCAACCTGCTGCTACACAAGACAGCACATTCAGTTGGTCTGGTAGCACAGCAAATTAGGGCTTTGACTTATTATGCTGAATTGATATTGATCTAAGCCCAACCCACGACTGGCTGTTTATTCTGAACTTCCTAAGGACACATCTTGCCCTTGCTGAGTACTAGAAGGTGCAAGAACCTTTTGTATATGCATTTGGGATACTACTTTTTCACAATATTATGATGAAAGCTGACAGAGGCTGGCAAATGTATCAGTGCATACACTATAGCATTATATTCCGAGGAGAGTACGTTTAAGGGATCAGTGATTTGTCCCTCACCTGCTTTACTGCTCTGTTTTCATTCTTATCCTAGGGGGTTTACTGACACCAACATATGCTGCTTGTATTTGAAAGTATTTGGAACATATGCTGTTCTTCATAAGGGGATGGAAAAGATCACACCTCCTGCTAATCTCACTGACTTTGGAATTGAAAAGCAGAACAGTTGCAGCCAGAGATGTACAGGGGAGTGTGTCTGTTCATCCTGGCTGCATAAACAAACATACCTACGTTCATCAATCACGCACGTAGTTCTACTGTTAGATATATATAATCCCCATTAATGCTATACTGAAACTATTTAAAACTACCTAATCACATCTTCCTGAAAAATCTTTGCTGCTATTTGTTACCACAAAGATGGGACTTTATATGCTAAATCTGTCTAAATAGTCTATTATAAGAAAAAAAGAAAGCAGTAAGCACTTCATTTTTCCCTTCTCAAGATAATAAAAGCTGTCTTCCTAACCAGACACTGTAAAGTAATTTAATCTGCTTCTCAAGTATTCTAAGAAATAAAGAAGTTTCTTTTAGGACTTAGTCTTACCTGCCTACATCCTCTCTGTGCTTAGTCTTCTACATCTGCCTTAAAAACAAAGGATGGAAAAAACAAGCAGAATCACTACTGTTTACACCTAGAAGTCCATATTTTCATTGTTAAAAGTGCTGTATTATTGGTGTTATGCTAAAAAAGGTCAATTTGTTTTGCTGTTTTGAGTCCCCTAATCCTTCTATGGAAGTTCTACAACTGTTTTTGGTAATTACTGGGCACTGATTAAGTAATATCCACAAAATGACAACTAGCAAGAGCATCAAAGTTAAACAGCAGCTGGAAGGCTGGAAATCCTTGGAGGAGTCCCTGCAATGAGCACCACTAGTACTCTCTGCTTTCACAGCTCTGCTTGTGCCATGCACCCTGCAACATTTTTCCAGCCTCTAAAAGTGCAAGACTCCACAGGAAGTTTTAATTCCTGTCATTTCTAATGTACTGTACTTGACTGAATTCCTTGGCTGGCTTTGCATACAAAGACAGTAATTAGACATGTCTAGTTAACAAACGCTTTATCACTTGGAGATCTGTATTTCCCTCATCACCAAGTACTTACTAATTACTGTCATGTGGAAGACTAATATTTTGCATAGCACAGGAGATGAGGAGAAAAAAAATAATCTTTCTGTGTTTTACCTGGCAATGAAAACACAGAAATCCATTGTAGCCCAGCCATGGGATTTTAAAGTACTGGCAGCCTAAAGGGTGTCACGATCCTTGTTTGTGCATGCGGAGCAGGCTGCTGTGCAAACTGAAGAGCTGACACACTGCAGCTAAGGGCTTTAGCAGTCTATACATCAGCTGGATCAGCACAGAGGTAAAAACACACACTTTGAAGCACATGATATTATTAATCAAAAAGCAACAATTTTGGTTTTCTGTGTAGGTCGGTACAGTTTTCTATAAGCTGTAACTCTATAACAGAGACTAATATTAGAAATGTTAGGTGCAATATCAAAATGAAAGCCATTTTTTTTTTTACTACCACAATTAAGACGATATCAGCTCTGCAATGAATTTCTTTCCTTTTTGTTAATGCACCATCAACCACTCAACCCATAAAACCACAAGCATTCTGTCACAAACAGGAAAATGTATTAATGAGGTCTGAATACTATAAAATACAAAATACTTCTTTGCCAGCTTACATGCTAATCATTCTCACAAATTTCATATGATGTGATATTACTATTAAAATTGAAGAAGGTGGTTGTTTCTTAGTCTATCCAATATACTTCAACATGGCAGAAACTACCAAAGAGATTATATGTGTATATATATAAGAGATTATATAAATATATATAAAGTAACCGAGATAAAACCTGTCTCTTTTAATCACTGTAATTTAAGAATGCAAGAGCAGTAGCAGTGGAGGCATTTCTCTGGATACTTATGTGGTGCAATACTCTAAATCCAAGTATTTTTGGAAGAAGGAAATATAAGCTTGCAACTTGTGTAACTGATGTCCCTTAAACGATTCAGTCCTAGATTCCTACCCATTCTGGACTCTGTTGAGGACTAGAGAACTATGCTTTGTGACAGAAGATTAGGCCTTCAGAACCATAATAAATTGACCATCATCCAATCCTGTCAAGACACACACCCTTCAAGCTTCACAGAAACACATTACATCAGTGTCTACATCCTATAAAAACAAAGTACAGAGAAAAGAAACTGTAATTCTTCCTGTTTTAAGTCATATTTAAAGGTAGGGATGAATGTCTTCCATCACTGTTGACCTAAAAAAGGGAGAAAAAAAAAAAAGCAAAGACTCACTTCTCTCCTAAAACAACCAGTTTTCAATCATTCCATCAGTTTCCATCTTTTTGGTGCCTCTTCACATGTCCTTTGATTTTGCTGTGAATATCTGCTTCTTATGTCAATCTATAAAAGTTCTCACCTAATTTTTGGCACAAGTCACTGCATTAAATTATTCTAGAAAAACAAAATCCACAGCCAAAATCTGAGCTGCTCTAACCTTGAAGTTTCCATGCATTGCTTTGGGAAAATAGTTTGTTTATGCGAAGGAAAAAATTCCTATGTACGTTATTACAAAATATAAAACAGAGATTCCTACAAGTAAGATCGCTTTGTGAGCTGTAAAATAGAGAAGTACATCCCTATAATGCTTGCTATTCCTTTTAACACTTGGTATTCTTTTCAACATAGGAAGATTTTAGGTCCCTTTTTATCCTGAGGCTTCAAACATGCCTGCTTTTTCTATCTTATGCAAGGAATACTCCCACATACCTTACCCATACTTGAAAAAAATGGTCATACTAGTAAACCTATACTTGTTTATATTTCAGAAAATATATTCACAGATTACATACAAATTTATGCAATCTTAATTACATATCTTGATCTGGACAAGGGCAATGGAATTGAAAGAAATCTGGTCAGGGCTATATCATTCATTTCAACCTGAGACTTGCCCTTTTCTGATCAACTTAAGGTTGCTTACCATCGCATGCCAATGTTCACCCACCTGCACAGTCTCAACCAGATCTGTTGAACTTGGCAGTATTTGTATACATTTCAGTGGGAGTACAAAGGAAGTTTTAAGATCCTCCGAGATCTTCCCAAACATTATGAGCCTAAATTCAGTAGATTTTTGAGGAAATTCATGTTCTTATTGAACAACAGAATTTAAGCACTTTCATAAAAGTTCCTGCAAGCTTCTAGTTCAATAAGCAAATGCTGCTGAATTTAGGCTCAGAACAATGGTAAAAGACAATATCTTACAGAAACTGTTCACATTTTATAGTATAGTCTTGTATCAATATTCCATTTTGAAAATTTAACCTTAATTCTATTTTAGCTGGTTCCAGATACCTTCGGGTTACAGTGGCTTCTCCAACCCTGGAGGAAGCATCACAGAAAACTTTTCATTTGTCTCCTGCCAGACTGTCAGCACTTCATCTACAGTGCACCTGTAAAATAAAAGAGGGAAAGGAACTGGGGTTGGAGTAGGTTTTCTATGGCTGTGTGTTTTTTCCCTTTTTCAGCCATAGCACTCCTGTCTCATGCAGCTTTTATCAGTTTGGCACAAAAGAATTTTCCAAATCTTTGACTGAACACAAAATGAGCAGCAAATCCTGCTTCCTAAGAGCTGTGAAATCATGAACAACCATTCAGAAAAGCTTGAGGTCACTCACCTTCTGCAGGCCAGGCCTGCATCTGGAAGCACATTCTTCCGGAGGCTTCTGTCCTCCCTTTGGTGAAAGGCTCCACGGGAAGGGGCAGACAAACTGCTTGCGTCCTTCTGCCACATTATTTCTTCAACTGCTTCCTATGGCTCCTGATTCCCATGGATTGATTCTGGCTCCAGGAGAGCCTGCTCTCCAGCAGCAGGGAGGCAGTCCAATAGAGCATGGTACAACAGGCAGCCCCTGCAGTACCCTGCTAGGCATCCTAAGTATGTTCTTTTGCTTTTCGAGTCAAAATAATGAATGGCAGGGCAGGTTTAAAGTGTTTTTAATTAATTCCACGGTCTAGAATACGCCAGAAATCCTCAAATTGCCAAGCACTGTACGACCGCCTTTATAACACACAAAACACACTCCCACTCACTCTTGCTACCGGCACTTCCCTCGATGGGTACATTTGTCACCACGGCGCCGCTTCAGCCAGTGCCAGGAAGATGTTTTCACCCTCGCCTGGAAGCGTTCCCAGACATCCTCCGTGCCCCTCTGCAGCCTCCCCCCGGCCGGCTCCGCGCAAACCTGCCCGGCGGCCGCACCCGCGGCCCCTCCGCGGCAGCACCTGCGCCCCGCGGGGATCGGGGGCTCCCCGCGCATCGCGGCGAGAGGCGGCAGCAACCGGGAGCGCCGGGAAGGGCCGGCCCGGTACCCGCGGCCAAGCGCTCCCCTGGGCGCCGCCACCTCCCGCCGGGGCGGGCCGGGCAGAGCAGAGACGGCCCGGGGGGGAAACAACGTCCAGGGGATGCGGAGGGAGGAGAGCGGCCAACTCACCTGAGCTGTTGCTCCCGCGCACAGGGCTGGAGAGCAGCAAGGCGCCTGCGAACAGACAGGGAACGGGTCGGGGCGCTGCTCCGCGCCCGCCCCGCCGGCCCCCAGCCGCTCCCCGCGGTACCCACCGAGGAGCAGGGGCAGCCACATGGCGGCGGGGCAGCGCGGAGCAGCGGCGGGGAGAGCAGCGGCGGCGGAGAGCAGCGGAGAGCGGCGGCGGGGAGAGCAGCGGAGAGCAGCGTGCCAGCCGGGTCACCGCACCGCGGGCTGCCTGCCCCGTGCGCTGTCCCGCACTCCACCGAGTGGTGCGGCCGCCACAGCCGCGGCTCCCGCTTTAAACCTCGGCGGGCGCATGAGCACTGGGGCGGGCGAGGGTGGTCGGGGAGGGCGGGAAGGAGGGAGCGGGCACCCGGGGCTGGGCAGCCTCGCCGCTGGGCCCGGCAGGTGCTGCTGTCCCGCCCCCGCCGACTCCTCCCGCCGGGATCGGCGGCGCGGCGCTTCCCCAGGCAGCCGGGTCCGGTAATTCGCCCGCTCCGGCAGAGGAGGCGCGGACGTTCCCGTGCCCCGCGAAGCGCCTTTGCGGTTTGCTTTCCCGGCTCTGCCCGAGCACCCATCCATATCCCCTCCACCCACAGCTCTCCAACACCTCATGTCAGGTATCTTTACTCCAGGTATCTTGGGAAATGCGACCCAGCTGTCAGCTGCTTCGCCACAACATCTGTCCCTTTCTCGAGGGTGAGCGAAGGGGCGAAGCTGTCCCGAGAACTGCGAGGTGTTGCCGAGGGGGGACGGCCGCTCCTCCCTGGCCGCGCAGCCCCGGGCCCGCCGGCCGCAGTCGTGCTGGGGCCTTACATCTTTCCTCTCGGCACTGCGGAGGGGAGTACTGAGGGATTTGAGCCTGACTGAATCATTCGAAGAGATAGAAATACCCGATTCGGCTTTTCGGGTATCGTTTGTGTTTGGTCTAAAATGTTAGCGCAAATATTGCAAGCGCCTGTCTTTCATGTAAGTAAAATTTTGTTTAAAGTAAGGAAAAAATAGGCAAAACCAAAAACACCACAACCCCCCGAAAACCAACCAACCAAACGAAAACCAAATCAAACCCTCCAGTTCAGAGCCTACTCCGTTTCCGCAGCTCAGGGTACACACGCATAGGTGCCGTGAAGTATCGGCTGGCACTGATGTGCACTGGGCAGGTCACTTGGGAATGGTGGGCAGAGGTGCTGGAATTTCAACGAATGCCTTGAAATTGCTTTCTGTGCCGTCTGCCAGCATCCGTTGTTTGATTTCTACTGGGACGGCTGTTCCCAGAAAAGAACTTTTAAGTATGAATAAGCTTTCAGACCTCATAGGAATTATGATTTGCCGAGGCAGAAAATTAAGTGAGGGTGGGTGTTGAAACCAGCTCTGGGAGCTGTCATCTTTGGGAGGGAGGTAGCTGGTCAGGGCAAATCGCTTTAGGGTTTTTGTTTTGGTTTTGTTTTTGTTTTGTTTTTGTTTTTGTTTTTGTTTTTGTTTTAACAGGTCGCATAAAAATGCACTTTGTGGAGTATCTCTTCGCATGACTGAAAATAAATATATTTGAGAAATCTGCGATCCCTTCAGAGATATGCAGCCTGTAAGAAAAAAATTGGAAGCATGACTGGGTAAGTTATTCGTAATTTTTTCGTAATTTATTGCTTTTCCGGAGTTTAATTCAAGCAAAGAACAGAAGCTGTGAGAACACGACACCCCTTTCCCTCACAGCTTTGATCTTCCCAGAAACACATTTTTATGCCTCCCACACAGGATAAAGGTGGCGATGCTTCCCTCATGACATGGTCTTCTCCTACGGGGGCATCATCTCAAATTCAAAATTATTCAAGGCGAATGATGCAGATGTCAGGAACTTCTGCTGGCATTTCTCTCAGCTTCTCTGAATCCCGAAATTTTCCTGCTCGTCAGCAGGCTTCTTCCTCAGCTAGAGGTGCCCTCGAGGGGTCGATCACCTTTCGCCTTCGGCGATCAATTAAAGAGTTGGCAATGGCCACCAAAAGCTCTGTCCCTGAGCTGGCCTCCGCTAAGGTGTCTCTCGCAGGTGCAGAAGCTATCCTGAATAATTTCCGTGGCAACCTTCGTTCCTTAGGGATTTGTTTTCTTAGAGCTGAGGTAGTTAAAAGAGAAGGGACACTTGCTCAACTTTTATTTTTTGAAGAAAAAATTTTGGGAGCCAGACAGGGCGCAGGAGAGGATGCCATCCGTGGGGCCTCTCGCCTCCCTGCACGCCAACGGTGGCAAATGGGTGACGTTCCCGTTCCCTTCTCGATGCCTGCACCCTCCCCGCAGCTCCCGCCGCCGGCTCCGCTCGCCGCCCCGCTCCTGCCGCGGGTACGGACGCGGCAGAAAACCGAAGCTCAAGCCCAGCTGGGGGCGAGGCGGTGTTGGCTGGTCCTAGGCTAATGTCTCAACTTCTCTGGTGGCAAGAGCAAACTGCTCCGCAGAGGAACTATTGTCACACGGGCTGAGGTGTTTGCGGCAGCGAAATGGCCCGGGAATACCTTCCTCCGGAGGCCGGGGGACAGGCACGCAGAAAAGGGAGAGGCATTCCATTTATCCTGGGAAATACGGGAAATGCCTGAACCGAGGGACACTGCCACACAGCCTCACAGTAACCTCTCTGTCCTTTGTGTGAAGAAAGGCTTTGTGCAAAGATCAAAAAGGACAGAAGAAAGCACTAATTAAACTTTCAGCCCTATATTCCACTTGGAGAGGGCCCTGTGACTTGCAGTTCACTTGCTGGGAAAATAGACTCACCCATCCTCATTGCAGTACTCCTTTACCTCCTCATGACATTTTTCTTTCCTCTAATTCCCTTCATCTTGTGTGTTTCTGGCTTGTCCCTGCATTCATTCCAGACCTACAATGCTTTCATTTACACTTTCTTCCCAAAGGCTCCTTAATTCATCCTCCAAACTGTTTGGCATTGACTTGTGCGTGTCACCTTCAATTTTACATTTAAGAGGTACTGAGCTGTGCTGGAATTTTCTAGGCATCAAGGAGCTGTCAGGAATGCTGGTAAGAGACATGCAAACTGATGCCAGGCTAGTGGAGCATACACACATGCCTGGTCCTGGGCAGCCATCTGTAGCAAGCCTGTTTGATGCCTTAGGAGAGACAGGTGATTTGAAGGGACCTTAGAGGGGTATGTGGCAAATGTTCCATTGCCTGTGGGCACAGCCCTTGTCATGACACCACTGGGCTCAATTTGTTAATCCATGCCATCATCTTAGTTAGGCTCCTTACGAAGCATTAATTTTTGTTTTGTTCCCAAATTACTGGCTTGATAGTAAACAAAACAGAAAAATATCCACTTAGGAAAAACACATTGAATAAATAAAAATATTCAAACTAGAAGAAGGAAGCAAACAATTGGTGGAAGCAGCACCTAAAGCAAAGACTGTGTAATGCCAAATTTTCTGATACTCTCTGTGCTGGGTGGCTGCAGCCTTGTCACAATGTGTGGCAGGGGAAATGCTTGTTTATGTACATGTACATGTACATGTATGCATACATATATACAGCATTAAGCAGCACCAGAGAGTGGGCTGCAACATTGGAGTTCTGCCACTGTTCCTGTCCCACCGCTGAAATGCTCCTTGGCAGCCCTTTGACCCTGATCACCTGCCAGGCTCTGGCCTTCATGACCCACCAGGCTCCCAGCCAGAGCTCAGCACAGGTTTTACTCCATCCTGGGATCTACATTGGCTCCTTCCTTTGGAGGCAGAGAGTGCTCACACAAACAGACATGCATCAGGTCACAGCAGCTGGCCAGTGCTCATGGGGGCACCTTGGCAGGGGCTACAGAGGCCTGCTGCCTCTGTAACCTGGTATTGCACAGCCTGGAGTTCTCTCCAGGAAGGCTCTTCTGGAGTGGGCTCTTCACCACAGCCAGAGGCAGTACTGAACCACCCTCCAACACGTTAGCCTAATAGCCCAAGCACTGAGGAAGACAGGTAGCTGCATGCAAGTCTCCACTTTTAAGAGTTCAAGCATGAGTGCTTGCAAACAGTCCCTGATGGGCAGCAGACACTTGTCTACCTGCAATTTAGACCTTTTAGATTAGCCATTTATTTTATACAGTAACTGCAGAGCTCTGTGAAGAGGGATTGTAAGTCTGTCTCCTCTCCTCTCAGTCCTTTCCCCATAAAGGGGTGGAAGACCACCCAGCTTTCACCCATGATCAATACTGATCTTGCCACTGCCTTGTCTTATTGTGTGCTCTCCGGTGTAAGCCGAGAGAGGCTGGTGCTTATGATGACATCTAGAGAGATTTTCAAGATACAATTTTAAGTATGTTTGTTACTGTGGATTTTATTACTATATTAATTAAAAAAATTGTATATTTAACGGACATGAGGATAAAAATGAAGCCTGGGGATAAAATAACATAGTTAAGGGCAAACAGATTACATTTACTTCACATATAAATTTTAAAAGCACATATAAAACTCTGATGATTATTTCAGAATAATGACTCTGGATTCATCCTTGGTTGCTTAGCCTGGGATATCAAGAAGACCTTTGTTGTCCCAGAGGTACATTTTTTATTAACATTTTGAAAACTTTTTTCTGTGTGAAAACATTGAGGACTCTTAAATAATCAATATGGACAAGGATGGGGCCCCACTTCCATCTGCTGCCCATTCACTCTTCTGTTTCACTCGGGGCAGCAATGACACTGTGTGCAGTGACTGCCAGTCAGAACATCTGTTTTGTACTCTGAGAACTGGGGATGCTGATCTTTGGGATGATACCCAATGCACGCTTTCTGTAAACAGAATTTCAAATCCTGTTTCTGTAGCCAGCACCCGTAGTCTGAGGGTTCATCCATCTGTTGAGTCAGGAGGCTGGAGATATTGCT